AATGTCGCGCATAATGCAATTTAGCGTTTAGTCAAGCATGTCCCTCTCTCTTTACGTGAATTTTCGACTTTCACCCGCAAAAACATCCTCGCGAGTGAAAACCTGCGATAGGATTGAGATAATGGAGTATAAGTTCCGCCAAATAATATAATGCTTGTCCATCGCGGTTAAGGCAACATTAGAAAGCTTCACAACCAGTCTGTGTATCCATTCAGTCGTCAATGTTTCAAGTAAATCACTAATGTCAACAATTGACATGGAATAAACTTTTATGTAAATTAATTTAAAAATTGGTCCACATTTGAAATAATATAATATCATGGCAAATATTATAATTAATATTTTTAAATATATAAAATAATATTTTAATTATAATAATATTTCTTATATTAGTATTTGATAAGCACAGACTGATTTTTAAATTAATTTACGACATAATTATACTTTATTCATATAGTAAATAATATACTCAAAGAAAAACATATTTATGACAATTATAAAGACGATAATTATACAAGTTTTATATGTATGCGCGCACACACACACACACACACACACACACACACACACACAGTTGAATAACTTGTTTAATAATTGCAAAAATTATAAAATACGTATAATACATAGTTTATATATGTTAATTTTACGTATAAAAATTGTATAGTCGCTATTACTGTTTTCCTAACAATGAGTGTAATTATTTTGATATCACGAATGTACGAAATAATTATTTTAAAAAATCAACACTATATATTTAGAATTGAATGTACGCAAAAATATGATTTGCAATTTAAAAGCTGTCCCGCGCCCTACTATTATCGTTTCTCGTGAGTTTTACGATCTAACTCTGGATTTTCTTGGTCCGTAATTTAGCGGAATGCTCATCTACAACGTGTTCAATCCGCTCGCAACGGATCGTACCAAAGTCGGCTGCGGGCTGTAAAAGGATGATAATTATCGCGAGAGAAACGGGAGCAATCGCTCTTACGTTTATATGCGGAGAGAAAAATGGAGATAAACCATTATACGCGTAATAATGCTATTGTATTCGAACGTGTTCCGAGCACAGTTTTACTTTCGAGTCAATTTCGGACGTAATTAGACAATTTCTGGGCTTCTCTAATTGTAAGAAACCAAATACGACTCGGGCTCTACTCGGAATCGATCCCACGATTAATGACAACGAACGCTTCACAATTATTTATGAAGAGATGTTCTCAGTCGCGCATCGCAAGATTTTTTTGTAGATAAAGATCGAACGCGGAGAAGCATATTGGTTAGCTATGAAATTGCGATCGCCAACGGCTGAAAAGAACGTTACGATCGTTCGTGACATAACAGATGTTCTTTTTTTAGTATGCCGAACCGCACAATTAAGTCGCAAAATTGCATGTTAATTTAAGCGACATGTGTCCGTCGCGTCGTCTTGGCAAGCACATACCATATGCTGAACGAAACGTCCAAAGAGGTGCATCGAAAGTGATATTATATTAATCCTTTTCTACGACGTCATAAAGTGGTGTAACGCTTGTGGCAATATTCCGTCCATGATAAATAACTCGTTCTTCGAAAAATAATACGTATGCAACAGCAGTTATATATTTATTAACACGTATATTCAAACGGAGTTTCATGTCAAAAATATTTATTTTTGCTAAACAAGTTTCTTAATAAATTCAAAGTTCTTTTTAATTCTATAAATAGTCCATTAAGGCCAGGTTACACCAACGTTACTTTAATTTTAAGCGAGGCTCAAAACTCTCTTTGTTCCTGTCTCTTGTCGGTTTTAAAATGAGATAGATTTTAAGTTTCGCTTAAAATTAAAGTAACGTTGGTGCAATCGGGCTTAAAAATTGTTTAATAGCAAAGATATGTAAATTTAAGTTTGAACAAGAAAGAAAATAAGACAAGGAAAATTAATTTTCTGCGTCGTATAGAAGTCAACAATCTCATTGGTTAATTAATGGTCCGTCGAATGAGAGATGTTTTCTGCTCGATAGCCGGTAGTTAAATGTCGAAGAGATATCACTGCTGCTGATGGGTGTCGCTGACCTGCTGACACACATCTATCTCGAAATGTACACACGTGCTTCTTACGAAGTCCCGAGTATCTATATCCTAGAATACAGACGATCATGCTTTACCATCACGAGTCAATGAACCTGTCGGTTCCTTTTCACCTAAACTATTTTCTCGCCTATTCGTATTACATGACAATATGTTTGTTAAAATTCGAATGCTCGCAAATCACAGGACATAAGCATAGAGTTTGTAGAATCCTTTTCGAAACAAGTAGGGGAGACTGTGAGACCGACATAAAAAAAACAGTTTTGCTAAAGTATTTAAAAGTTTAGCTAGATACAGATATGAAAATAATTGGTCTATTAAAATAATTATATATGACACTCAAGTTGGAATGCTAAAATGTCAAAACTTTTTGCAGCACTACACATGATGCTTGAATTCCTTTCATAATTATTTTGATGATCAATCAAAATTATTATTTATATCTGTATGTACCTAAATTTTTAGATATTTTAGAAAGATCGTTCTTTTTATGTAAGGACATGTATTCTTGCACACTAATTATTCCTTTAATCATAATGAGTTTTGCTAAAGTAAAAAATTTAGATAGACAGGTTTGAAAATAATTTCGTTGGTCATCAAAAATAATTATGTAAGACAAACTGATTACTACAATATCAAACTTTCATCATGCTTAAATTTTTCATATAATTATTTTGATGACCTACTTTAATTTTTACATTACTTTCAGATCTGTGTATGTACTTAAATTTTTTAATACTTTAGGAAAATCATTCTTTTTATGCAGGGACCTTTATATTTTACCTTGCATACTAATTATTCTTTTAATTATAACGAGACTCTTAATATTGGCTGCTCAATTATATTACTTTGAACTGAAGTAATATACTAAGTAATATACTAAGCTCTGCTTAATCACAATCTAAGTACCACAGACTTCTCTATATATAACCGTCGCGCCGATAAAAAGTTCTCGTAGGAAACTACCAGAGTTTATTAGTGGAGGTTACCCTTTGACTTATTTTCAAGGGTTCACGATGAGATTCGCCCTCGCTCGCCATAGTTCGAGACTATCATTACGAGTACCCGCGATTTATAGCGCTCGCGACCAGATAAAAATCTAGTTATAGGAGTACCTATATGGAAACGCCTGCATCGTAGTTCAGATATAACGATCGAGATAACGAGAAGATTTTAATTATCCGTGATAGCGCTTGCGGCATAAATTGATCGTCAGATACGATCTACCGTGCGATTCCCCGCTGCTTTCGATCGTGTGAAAGTGAATCCCCCCGTTTTGTAAATTAAAAAGATACAAAATAAATGAACTGCATTCAATCGTATTCAATAAATCTGCATACGATCTCTAACGATCGAAAAATATATTTTAGATAGATTCTAGCCATTCATTTCAAGATAATGTTTATATATATATACGAATAGCATATTTGGGCAATGCATGTGAAAATAATAATTTCACATGCATTACCCAAATATGCTATTCGTCTTTCAAAAACAGATATTCAATAAAAGATTATATAATTTCTGCGGAGAAATCTTCTCAGAGCGTAAACTTTCATAGAAAGTTATAAAAAGTTTCTTTTTTATTATGTACTTTGTACAAATTATTCAGATACTTACACGAAACGTTCAAATCGTCTTCAATTAAAATAAATAGAAAAGAGAAAACGATTGAAAGATTGATTCTCAAAGTAACATATCAACATCTAATAATAATATATAATACTCACCACAGGGGTGCTTCGCCGATACCTGATACCTCCGAAGTCTCTTCCTCTCAGTCCATTGTATTCTCCAATCCAATGCACCAGAACAACACTCGCGGAAGAGAGGCTAATTACGATCGCACGCGCACTAATTATCAGAGTAACGTGACACTTTGCACAGCAATCCCGGTGTTAATCGACATCTTTATTACATCACGACAAAGTAACAACGAGAACGAGAGAGATACAGATCATGCAGGAATATAATCCGCGCGAGATTGATGACGTCACGCGACTGGCGCGCGTACGAGTTGCGGGAAGCGGGAACGTTACCGCGGGAAAGACTCGGCCAACTTCACGCGCCTCACAAAAAAGAGAATAACGCGCACGATCTCAAGATGATAGTTATCTCGCACGAACATTTTGCCGTAAATTATCATATCAAAACTCGAATAACTGTACGTACGAAGAGATACGAAATAGGATTAGAGTTCAATATCGCGGCGCTTGAAAATATGAGAAACATGGCGTCGCCGCGTCACGGCGTCACCAACGGTCACCGACCGTACGCGTCGCAGTTTCCGAACGCGACAGATTTCTCATAAAATACATATCTTAGCGACTCACCAATGTATGAGGGTTGAGTCGTACAATTGCGAAACGCGATGGAATCGACACTGTTATGACTGTATCTACTACAATGAAATAATCACCGACTTGAAATCGGTCCGCTGTGTATTTATGTACTGCTAAGCCGAATGTGGCGCTGTTCACTGCGATGTCACTGTCGCGAAATACGACGCGAGTCAAATCAGCAATCGACGCGGCGGTTACTTCACTCCATATATCGCGCAATGTATCTCAAATAATACAGAAATATGCGCGTACGTTTAGTTACAGATGAGTAATCGACACATCACAGCTTTTCGTTGCTCAATTTACATCGCTAAGAAAATAGCAAATTGAGAATGGAAAGCGACGATTCTCGTGCAATTCGTATTCTCATATTTCGAGTGAAATACTTGCTTCGGAAAACGGAAACGTCGTCCCGACATACCTAGGAGTCAAAGAGTCGATCACGGAGCCGTGGCGTCGTTTACTTAATTGAAAGAAAATGATCACGCCGTTCCATTCGTATCAACCGTTCGACAAGTACAATGCGACGCTACTCACAGTGTCCTTTGACCTTGCGCGTCACTGCGTGACGTCACAAAGGCTCGCGACGAACGGCGTTTCATAACAACGTAATTCGCGTAATCATCGAGCGAAACTACTTTCCGAAATACTTTCAATGGATGAGGTGAACGTAGGCTGAATCTTATTGCGTATATAATGTGCTCTTTTTTTTGTAATGTTATTCTGTGCTTTTTGAAACGTGAGTGTTGTGTGCTCTATGAATAATTAATGACTAAAGCTATTATTAGTTCTCACGAACAATGATCAGGAAGAATCGAGGTTATGGCGACTCGAGATTATGGTTTTTTCGAAGCAGGTATATTTTTATCTCTACACGGATTTATGTAATTGAGGTGAATAATGTGAAAGAATAATGAAGAAGAATAATGTGAAAACAAGTAATGTGTTACAAATTATCGTTCATCGCCTAATATCGTAGTAGAAATTTAATGGTAGTGTTAATAAGATTAATTATTTATTTGTAACCTTCCATGTGCTATGATATTTTACTCCCGTTCAATTCAAGTTTTTACTGCTTTAGGCTTTGCAAAAATGTAGAAAAATTTAAAATTCTTTACATTATCGAATGATTTTTAACAATTAATAAGATATTTTAAGGAGATCCGACTCCTTTTATTTTGGAGGAGAGTAAAATTTTGCTTGTGTAAAAAAAAATCCAAATTGCAGATGAAGGATTATACAAAAATAAGCAATTAATCACTGTCTTTCAATATTAAATTAGATTTCTGAGATAGAGTTCTGTTTGTAATTTGTTGCATAATGTGAGAGAAATTTAGAAAATTAAAGTATGTGCATGTATATAAAATAATACTAAAATACATACATATGTTGAAAGACATGTAAAAATACAAACAAAATCCTTTTAATTTATTTAATTATATTTTTTTAATATGAAATTATATAAATATAAAAAAATATTTCTAGTTTTAATTTTATATTAATTTTATATTAATTTTATTTTATTTGTTGAATTATAAAATATATTTAATTATATATTTCTTGAAATATAAAATTGCAAACAGTTCTTTTACATTTGCAAAATTCTCACATCACACTTTACTCATTTTACATTATGAAAAAAATTGTTATTCAACTATTATAAATTAATTTCATCAAATGAACAATTTTTTTTTATGTACTGACTTTTACTTTTTACTGATTTTGCAATTTGTGTCTGTCATTTTTGGATTGACAGTGTAAATTAATCATAACTCAGAAATTCGTGACATTAGAACTTTCAATTTTAATTACAGGTTCGTACAATGATTGCGATGAAGACAAGAGAGAAAGAGGAGAAGAGAGAGAAACTTGATATATTAATAACAAGTAACCTACTTCGCAAAGAACAAAATCAGGGTCCCACAATTATATGAGACTGCAAATCGCTGATGCAAATTGCGGCAAGGATGAGTCAGTTACCTTGAATATTTATCTCACGGTCGGTTGTATATACAAGTTAATTAGTCAACGTAATAACAAATTAATAAATATCCGACCACGCGATTATTGTTTTGTTTTGCTAAGAAAGCTTACTTTTATTTACAGTATCTTCTCGATATACAAAAGGATTTTCGTGTCGCATTGCATCTTCTCAAATATGAGAATGAAAAATGGAAAGAGAGAAAAGAACTAATTTAGAGAAGATACAAACATGTTGCATCGCCCTTAAATCTTGCCTTAATTACTAAAAAAAAAATGCAGATTTAATAGAAATTACGCTGCATTTTAGATAAGCTGATTTACGTGACGAACGGATAGAATACCGAAGAATTAAATATCCGTTGTATAACCTACATGCTTCTTTACGGAACGGTCTAATAAGGTGAAACATTATGCAATTACTTCATAAGTAGCTCGGCAAAAATCATCGCGATTCCATCTGATGGCTAGCGATTCCGTCGTAATAAATCACTCATGCACATAAGCCGTTGTTTTCCAATCTACTTTGGTTGATGGAATAGCTGCGAATAAACGCGCGGTCCATTTCATTCTCATTAAATGAAATTTCATTTTCAGTAAATCATAATCATCCGCGATGCCCACTTTAGACGATCTCTAGAAGTTGAATATTGCGTCAGAATTTAAGATAGAGTTCTGTTTATAATTTGTGTCATATATAAACTGAAAGAAATGTTTGAAATACATGCGTGTATATATATATATATATATATATATATATATATATACAGAAAATATATATTAAAATACATTAGAATATGCATATAAAATTATAAACAAAATTTTTTTTATATTTGTTTATATAATTATTTCTGAAATATAAAATTATAAACGGAACTATAAACTCCTTTTACATTTATAAACGGAAATATAAATTCCTTTTACATTTGCACATTTCTTATATTTCTTGAATATAAAACTATAAACAGAATTATATTGTGATATTCAGCTCCATGAGTTATAAATCGTCTAAAGTAAAGTGAATTTAAAAGTAGTATTGCATGATACATCACTTCCTTCTTTGAGATACAACTAAATATTCATAGAACCATTGATTCCGTGTTTTTCTCGCGATATAATTGACGAAGGAATCTCGTGCTGATAATAAATCGATGCCACGCCTGAAGACACGCAAGTATCGCGTCGCAGAAATATTTCCCAAATATAAAGTTCTGTAGAAACGCGCGCGCGCGCGCGGTGGATGGTGCAAAGCAGGGATGACCGGGCGTTCGCGAAATTATTGCGTGGCTCGCAAATGTTCCGTTAGCTACAACGAAGAAATTATTTACCATCCTATCAGCATTGTGCTGCATTAAAGTCCGGCCGGATACCGGAGTCCAGAGTAGAGAGACGGCTTGAAACTTTACTGCCAGGAGATGATCACCGTTACCGTTCACCGCAAACATGGCAATGAGCGTTCTTTTCTTTTCTCTGCAACTTCTCTCTCTCTCTCTCTCTCTCTCTCTCTCTCTCTCGTTCTTTTTCTCTTTTTTTTCTCGCCCGTCAATCGATAAATGGAGAAAAGAAACTTGTAACGAGGATTGTAAATCGTTAACGCATCAAAAAGAATCCCGGAAACGAATCATTTCGTTTGCCTTTTTTTCCTATCCGTGAGACTTTCCCTATGATCGATATTCCGCATGATTTATTATCGGTAGTAGATGTCGGATCGGCCGCGATCAAGTATCACTTCTTGCTTTCTAAATCAATCACAAGAAACTATCTTCATTAAAGCGCATAGTATGATACGCTTGTCATTTTTTAAATAGAATCTCTGTACGTTATTAGACGAAAGAGAAAAGAAACAATCGAGTTATGCATGTGGATTTTTGAATTCGAATGTTCACTCCTTCTATCTTAAGACAGGTCCTGCAGATGTATGGCTAAAATGTAATTGCCAATTATACGTACAATACAATTATACATTCAATGAATATTGGTTTACATTTATACAAATATTATGTCATGCTTGCATATTTAATATTTGCCAATGTTGGCGTACATTGGCACAGTCACTTTTAGAACATTTATACATTGGAAGTGTCATAGCCAATTTGAATAATATAATAAAAATGTCCTCAATATCTAGCTATTCTTATCTATTAGGTGTTGGAATTAATTCGTAGCGTTTTTTAATGAAAGAATGTTATTTATTTCACATGAGCATTAAAAAATACATTAATGAAAGTACTTCCCATCACTTGTAAAACGCTACGAATTAATTCCAACACCTAATATTTGAAATCTGTTTATGCGTTTGCGCGAGATGATAATCGCGTTTAAACGTGGAATGGCATGATAATCACGTTTAATTTGAAATAGCAAAATTCGGAATAGTTAATTGAAAGGTTGGTATTTTTATTTCAAAATTGTCAAATATTTATAGGCTATAATTAATGCATGCATAGAAAGAACGACTGTGCTAAAGTATTTAAAAATTTAACTAGATATATAGATTTGAAAATAATTTTATTAAAATATCACAATGATTATGTACTGATATAAACTAAGTGTAAATTAGTTGCTAGAATATCAACATTTTTTTCAGCTTGTGCTTGAAATTTTTACGTAATTAATTTGATAGTTTAACAAAATTATTTTTCCGTGCGAGCATCGCAGTAAAATAAACAGACAAGGACAGATATATGTTGGAGACAACACTAATCTGCAATGACATTTCCAGTGTACATATTTTATAGATTTTATCTGTTTCGCATGAAAATGATCCTTACAGAAACCTAATAACTAATTTAATACTGAAAGATAGTATTTAATCACTTATTTGGAATACTAAAAGTACTGAAAAGTACTAAAAGTACAATATTTTTAATACTTAAAATAAGTACGAAAACTTAATACTCAGGTAACAGCTCCTCGTTCTAATGAAACTGCAATATTCATGAAATGTTAGGATTCTAATAATGGATCTGGATATGAAGATAACCCGCAAAACATATAATTCCTGTATAAAAAGTATCCGTGAAAGTCTCAAAAAGCATTACTTAAAATAAATAATTGGCTGTTTTTCTGTATTAAATTGGTCAATATTAAATATCTGTAAGAGGATCATTAATCAAAATCAAGAATTTTCATCTTTCTTTTGTCTCCTATTATTATAGATTTTTTATTTTTTTCTGTAGAAATATTGATATCTGACATTTCAGGAATCTGTAATCCATGAGATCAATGATCGGAAACCGCGAAATCTCGATGGATCAACGACCATTGCAGAGCGTGCGAGTAAGTCAATTGATCGAAGGTGCGGATTCCCTGGATTGAATGGAACGTAACCGATCGCGCGTGAAGGGACGAAACGCGAAACACGTCCGATTTCTTCCATCTCTTTCTTACTCTGGACGGTTTCACGCCATTCTAAGCACCGACCATGCATAGTTAAGCCAGTAATTCGGCCGTAACGAAAACGAATTTTACTAGGGGAATGGCGGTGCCCCACGTCCGATACCGCTCTTGTAACTAGCGAAATTTGCATGATCGTGAATCGCACAATAATCTTTTATCGACGGATATAAAACTAGCAGTAGAATGACGTGTAGGTATAAATTTCATGAATCGATACCATGAAACTGGAACGATTCTGTGACGCAAACGGTAGAGAAAAGATCCTATATTTGAATATGTAATTTGTAACTTGTGTACGTAACATGTGTTCTGTTTTCAACCATGTCTATAGTTGTTCCAGTTGCAAAGCATCGAAGCGTAGATACCATAATAATTCGAACTAACTGAACATCTAAGATTCAGAATCGATAACTATAAATGTATTACTTTTAGGTTTAGATGAAACAGAAATTAAAATGCGTTAAAAATTTTCAGTTAATTTATAGGTAAGAATAACTGAAAAGTTAATGTTTTATTGTATCTTAGAAATATAAAAAGTATATGTACAAAATATACACACATACATATATATATATTGGATCATCTAAAAAGTATCCGCGGTTTTTTGTCACTAGATGATTGAGGTTGAAGGTTGACCATCAACACCATCTAGTGACAAAAAACCGCGGATACTTTTTAGATGATCTAATGTGTGTGTGTGCGTGTGCGTGTGCGTGTGCGTGTGTGCGTGTGTGCGTGTGTGTGCGTGCGTGCGTGCGTGCGTGCGTGCGCGCGCGCGCGCGCGTGTGTGTGTGTGTGTGTGTGTGTGTGTGTGTGTGTGTGTGTGTGTGTGTGTGTGTGTGTGTGTGTTGTGTATACATACAGGTATTTATATTTTTAAACATATTTTTATCTTTATAGCAATATCAAATGTTACTTCTTTTATTACACTTTTTAAACAGTGCAAATTTATAATAATGCTCCTATTATTGAATCTTTTCATTTACAAAACTTGTTTGGAACGTACGCTTTTGAGAAGAACGAGTTTGAAACCGTGAACGGCTTACCAATTTCGTGACATAAAAATCAATACGTCTTACCATGCGGCATGTTGTACGTACAGCAATAATCCGTTTGAAGAGATTAGCCGTATAAGCTGATACACGAGACCGTGTTGTAGAGACCGTGAGGCGAATCGCCGGCGGTACTTTAAACACGTCTGGTAACAATTTGTCAACTTCTGGTTCGACTGCTTGCTACCAGTTCTAAAGTTAGATACCGAGCATACCAAGGCACTCATAGTAATACGTATATCTCGCTCGAGTATTCCTGAAGTAAAACGTCATTATAGAAAGACAATGAAATAATTCCGTAACTTCTTCAATTTCAAAAACCATACTAATGTTTTAAATAAGAGATTCTCTATTACTTTCTGTAATTTTATATCTATCCGTTTCCCATTTCCAAATATATGATATTTAAATTAACGATATATTAAAATATATAAAGATTTCTAATCTTTGAACTCAAATTTGCTAAACGCAATCAGGAATATCTCAGGGAGTTAAAGTTAAGTAACCTCTTTTTTCTTAAATAATCATTTTTAAAGAAACTAAACTTATTGGATTTTAAAAAGATTCTTTAGTTTTTAAGACTTCCCATTTGTGCAATGTGTGAGCAACGAGGAACAAGTCAGAGTTGCGGTCATGAGAGTCGAAAGGACGAGAACACTCGTCAGGGCGTGCCTTTCCGTGTTCTTTGCAGCCTTGCATCAACTTTCTCCGCATTGTCGGCGAGCTGGACGTTCCTCGCATCCTTCATGTCTCACTATTACCATGCTATTATCATGATACACGAGCAGAAATTTAATAGCAATAATAAATATCGCGGCGCGCGAACTTTGATGGGAAATAAAAAAAATTGATAACGGTGAGAGGCAAAGCTTAATAATAAGTAAACGAAACGCATTTCTCGTACGCTCTGGCTTTCCAAACCTTTAACTTGACTCAAACTCATCCCTTCGATTAACATAAAACGTAAACAGAATTCGTAATCGGTGATTCACAAGTGTCCTGTTATATTTTACACGTGTCAGAATTCAGACGTGACGAATCCGAGAGTATCGTAACTGACACTCAGAATAATGGTGAATGAGAGAAATGTAATGCTATTCAATGAGTTCTTCATTTCGAACGAGATTTCTTGGTTAATATTTCATAAGTGAATAGAGAAGACTGTGGTCTTCTCTATCCAGAGATATGTTGTACCTTGAGACACACTAATTATTTTTTTAATATTAATGAGATTTTTAATATTGGTTCTTCAGTTATATTTTTCAACTGAAGTAATATAACTTGTGAGCTAATATTAATTCTCCGCAACATAGAATTTTAACTCTTCCATTAACAATAAGAGTTTTCGAGAAACACAGTAAATTTTTTTATTGTTCCGAATTATATAAAGATCTGAAAAGATGATTCTGATATACTTGTCAAAGCTTTAACACCAAGTTTTTATCATTATAAAAATCAGATTGTATTTTATTTGTTTTTTACAGATTTATCTATCAAAATTTACAATAAAAATATCGAGGGTATCTTTAAAATCATGTTGTCAGCAGAAAGTTAAAAATCTTATTATTAAAAAAATAATTATATTCCAAGGCACAGTTCTTAAGTACCAAGTCTTATGACAACATGATGAGCAATGTTGCAACAAATTTTTACATTCTAGCAATCATTTTGAGTGTCCTACATAATTATTTGATTGATTCAACATAATTTTTTTCAGATCTATATCTAGCTCAATTTTTAGATCCTTCAGCAAAACTATTCTTTCTGTGCTTTTATATGATTTTGTCTAAAGATCGTCTTCTCGATTCTCCTATTTTTTATTTTGCTATCTTCCTTGTTGAAATTTCTTCCGTTAGTTCTTTCGACACGTTTTACCCTCAGGAGGCGAGAATTAGCATAGTTCGTGAGCGGAATATTGAATCCCGGATTAATACGTGCATATGAGTATCACGACGATCGCAATCGTGACACGGGCGGGTCAACCAGCGCAGCGGATACGATCGAGAAGGTGTGTACGTGTATAAGCGCGACGTTTGCGTTAGCTGTAACACTTTCAGGGCGTGATCGTTAAACGGTGATATCGACGATCGTAACGGTACGTCTTTCCGTACGGACACGCGCGTTGTCGCAGAATCCCCACGCGCGAAGAACACTGCCACGTGCATCTATTGTCCTCTCGCCCGTCGCGATTGTATAATAGATCTTCCGGCATGAGGTAGCAATTTGACTTTTACACGTAGTTGTTTCCATCGTCGCGGTGCGCTCGAACGCCTCTTGGGACCCCATTACATAAAAAAGGAGCACGATTAAATGTACTAAAATAAAATTGCGTTATCCCACGCCGTTATTATGCAACGCGAGATTCCGGGGATGCTGATGTCAGCGGCCGCGGAATAAAATAGTTATTATCCCACGACCGAGCGCAATCTGCGACTCTCCGATTTCCATGTGGGTTCTCACGCCTATGTTTGCTCCAAAAACTCATATTCCGAACACTCGCTATTATAGCACATGGAGCTCTAGTTTTCTCCAAACATTGGCTGTGTTTTGATATACACTGCCAGTATTGCAAATCTATAGTTCAAGTTACTTAATTAGTCTCTAAAACTTTTAGAGTAAATCTTACTCTGAAGTGAAATTTCACTCTTGAAGTTTGAAAATTGAGCCACTTTTTTTCAAGACTGATTCGATTTTCACTCTTTGACACTCCACTCCATAGAAGTTAGAGAGTACTTAAACTATACTTAAGTAGAGCAACAGGCTGCGATAACGTCATTTGAATATTAAGGTCGAAAGTACACACACATAGATATATATATATATATATATATATATATGCCTGTGTGTGTGTATCTCAATATTTTTCTCAAAAAAATTATATCTTTGATAAATATTAAGTTATTTAAATCAGTTAGGACTTGTTCTAAAGAAAATTGTTTATTATATTGTACATTAATTAATATATAAATGAACATAATTTTCATATCTTTCAATGATAAGAAATAATTATAATTATTGATGAAGAAATTCTATCGATTGATACTTATAGATACCAGAAAAATTTTTGAATCTTTTTTCTACATAACTTTTATACATATATTTTATTGCGAATGAATACACTCAATTTTATTGATAAAACATTTATTATAATATTATTTAGAGAGAGAGAGAGAGAGAGAGAGAGAGAGAGAGAGAAATTTTTATATTTTTACATAGCATCATGTAAGATTTCATGTCTGATCATATTTTTTAAATAATTTTTCTTTCAAAACTTGAATTATTTTGATATTATAATGACTTTATCGTGGTATCCAGTCTTTGAATATTCTTGAATCCTGGAATTGTACTAAAATTTTGTATGTTCTGGAAAATCCCTGAAATTTCAGGACTGGTCTGAAATTTATCATTTTTTCATTCTGAAAGAGTTAGAGCTTGAAAAAAAAAGAAATAATAAAAAGAAAAGTTGTATTTGAGCACAGATCCTTCCTTGGTGTAATAAGTCATCAATAGGAAATTTGAATTTAATGTCTAAAATAGGACATAGTAGAAAAAATCGTTTGTGTTAATGGAATGTTCGTTTATAAAGCAATAAATAATATTGTTTCCAATTTGTTAGCGTTTTAATTCATTTATATAGAATCCTAACATTGAATTGAATAATTAAATAATGAAATTTAATCGATGGATAAATTCTGGAAAAATCAGGATTTTTTTCTGGGTTGTCCTGGAATTATCCTTGAATTGACTAGCCAGACATCATGCTTTATGTTCTGCTTGGGTAGATTTTCAGTACTGGTAGTGTATATCGGAATACCATTGTTCACGGCCATTGTTTTATGAAGAAAGTTCAATAGATGAGGCTAGAATGACAAGAAGGAGAACCCTTCTTACAAGATCTTCTGGAGCAGCTTCCTCCAAGTCAATCTGGAACAACCTCCCTTTTCCATTAATGACTGTCATTTACCCAGTGTCACCCCTGATGTCCTACAGCATCCGTGTTGCCGCTTCATGTCGCGTGCAATCTTTTGAATGTCCCTGGAAGATGGATTCTCAGCGTCATTAGCAGAGTGTCTCTGTTTGGCCTCGGTCCAAGTCATTCTTCGTCCGTCTTCCTCTTTCACCTTCGAGCGTGGAATTCTTCGCGACTCCTCTACCACCAAGGCTCCACCTTGCCACCACGTTCGCTTCCTCAGCTTGCCTTCCTTCTTCGCGCCAGGTGTAGTCATTAATTTTACAGCGCGGTGGAAAAAGAACGATGGGGGACGAACAAAGCGGAATCCATCCGCTCGCTCATTTGTTCATCGAAGCGAGGGAAGAAAATGAGGATCTTTGCAAGACAATTGTTCGCGAAGGTGAAATAAAACCGCGATGGTACTGCAGCGACGGATGTAGCTGCGGGACTGAGAAAATATTTATT